CCGTGATCACGATACATAGTTCAGGCCCGATATTAACGAAGAACCAAAAATCATACTTGAAATCGTCAAAATCAGTATCGAGCTCTGATTTGGTCGGCGAACTGCTCCCTCCTGGCGGCGCCCTTCGATAAATTATTCAGCAAATTCCTCTTGATTTTCAGCAAATATTCCTTTTGGTATTCAGCAAATCCTCCCAGGGGAAAGAAGTCTCCGAGGTACTGTACTTTCTACTGTAGGTCAGAATTAAAATCATGGTACTGAGTAAGAGGCAAGGAGCTCCAAGACTTCGAAAGCTTGGAGCACCTAGCATCTGCCGCGAGGCCGCTACAAACCAGTGCACGACACGATATGCCATACACTGCTCATAGGGAGGCTATCGTCACTGGCAAGCCTGTAACCGGGCCGGCGCGATGGGTTCTCGATGCGAAAATGCCGATATGGTGACGAGACTGATGACCAGAACAAGGCTGACACGGCCTTTTCGGGCTTCCCCGCGCGGGAGAGGGCAATTGCAACCTTTTTTCTCCACACTCACGATACCCAAGATGCTGGGTATAGCTACCCCCCTCGGAGGAGCATTGCCGTTGCTGTTGCTACCTCTTTTCCATAGGTATCGGTGGACAACCAAAACGTGACCAGACAGCCCCAGCGAACTTGAAGCAACCGCTCTCTGACATGAAGATTATAGGGTCAACCATTTTAGTTTTTCCTGATACGCATGATACCCCACGATACCAGACCTTGGGCAGGAAAGACGGAGCACAGATATACCTCACGCCGAGTGGTACCGTTACTACTGTTGCTCCCTCCTTCGAAAAGGTATTTACCAAACCCGTGTCCGTGTAAGACGCCGAACTTGAACTGACCGCTCGCGGTCGTTGGCTTTTTCGGGTAAGCACAAACACTTCTTGTAGGGCACACTCGGCATCTCACGGCGCCAAACCTTGGGATCATTCAACATCCCGTGGCGTCAGCTCCTTCCGGATACCATTCTTGAGGCAATTCGTTCCTTATTCGGCAAGATATCGGTGAACACGGAACAGAAGAGCGCAAAAGTAAACGAAAAACACCGTTTGCTGCTGGCTGTTCCACGGGCGCCAGGTCTGCTTTTGATTCCTTGCCCGACCCGTGGTCTATCGGCGATAACATGGCCGGATTTATTTTCTCAGTTTCCACGAAAACGCATGTTCGAATTTGATGTTGGCCCATCTCAAACTTGATTCTTGGTTCTTGTTTCGTATAGGGTCTCACCTACTTGCATACGAACGCACGCCCTTAACGGCGGCCACAGTACAAGGGTATGACAACAGCAGTCGTCCGATGACATGGAATACTTGACAGCGTTTTGTGTACTGCTGTTGCTGCTGCTATTATAGAGCTGCTGCAGGCACGATTCCATTTGCCTCTTTTGCTTGCCTTGAAAAGGTCGAAAAGCTCCGTCTCCATCTCGGGGCTGATGGCGAAAGTGTTGTCCTCGAAGACCACGTGGCCCCCCAGAGATATCCTGTCATCCACAGAACCCCCCCCCACAAACGCAAGAAACAAGAAAGACCCAAATCAACAAGACCATAAAAAAACACACACACACACACACACAAGACAATAAACAATAATCAGTTGCGTCTGCTGGCATGTCCCAAATGAGATATGATGGCGCTTGCGAGGTCTGAAGGGGACAAACGAAATCGAGGAGTTGCGTGCATTGTCTCTGTTTCCGTGTACTCGTTAGAGGATAGGAATCTCCGAGATCTTCGGGGCGCGGCGTGGATCAGATACTACGAGTTTGGAGGACTTGACGCGCGAGGGAGGCTCTCTACTGGCCTTGCCCATGCTTCACTTCGCCCCTCTCAGATCTTTTGAGTCGCTACATGTCCTACCCTTCTGTGCAGAAATGCTCTCCAGCAGGCGCGGTAACCAAGTACACGTACCGACAGCACAAACAGCCCCCCCTTCCCTCGCTCTCTCTTCACCTTCTTAATGCGACGGGATGGTTTCCCGTACCGTTGTGTTGCATGAGATATGCTACAACACACACCCTTGAGCCGATTTTCAAAAAGCTCGATTGCTCAGAAGCTAAAAAATACTGACAATGTCAGCGAAAATTGGCAACCATTCCCTCTTTAATGTCCTCTCTCTATTTCTGTCTGTCTCACCACCTATATTTCTCCCGTACTGCAAAAAAACACGACTCCTCTCTGTCTTACCCCCCCCCACGACAATCCTCTCGAGGACGCGTGGTCCATGGTCAAACCGCTAAGGCATGCAGAACATAAGGGTACCCCCCCCCCCCACCCCCCCAAAAACCAACCACCTGGTGGTAAACTCCCTGGCGGGGGAATCCCTCCCCACTACCCCCCCCCCCGCCGCCAAAAAAAGGCCCAAAGTGGGGGTCTTGCCCGGCACCCCCCCCTTTAAAAAGGGGGAAATACCCACCCCCTTGCCCAGCTTTTGCGACCAGGACCAAGTCTGTGGGCCCGAGGAGTGGACCAATTATTACTAGAGGGCAACACCTAAGGTAGGAAAAAAGGGGGGGGGGGGGGGGTTTTAGGTTTCA